TATGTAGGTCACGAGTAACAACGGTGACAGTTTGCAGCTCTGAAGGTCATGTGTGGCTCGCCGTAAAAGGGCACTATCACACAAAGGCAAAGTGTGGAAACACCAGCACGAACGGCTTGAAAACGTGCATGTCCGTGGGAGAAAAAAAACTCGATATCCCAGTGACCGTTCTATCCTGTTTTCAAAGGTTAACAAAAGCTTCATAGAGATTTTTGGGCACCCCGTTGTTGCGCATGCGCATTTGTGATTTTCGGCATTTACCGTTTTGCTTTTTTTAGGTTTTAGGCAGACATTATTAAGTTTTCGAACTTTTTCCTGTTCTCCAGGTTCATAAAGTTTTCAGTTAGGCTTTCGTTGCCTAGAGAGCAAACCACGAAAAACAATCGCCCGCAATTATTAGTTGGGAGCAATATATCCGATAAGCTCAACAAATATTACAAAAAAGGACATTTTCTTTTTTATAAAGCTGATACATTTTAATAATAATGAATTGATATATGTTAGGCATGATACAATAGCCTCCATATGAACAGAAGAAAAAAAAAATCGGCGAGCTTTTCTCGGTTTACACTCAATTGCCGGTGAGCTTTTCTCTGCATCCGCCGGTTTTGCGGTGAGCTTTTCTCCGGTGAGCTATTCTCCGGTGAGCTATTCTCCGGTGAGCTATTCTCCGGTGAGCTATTCTCCGGGATTCGCGAGACCAGCGCCACTTCCTTTCGACGTACGGCTTCACGCACATCGCACTCGCAAAACACATCCACACGGCGTCGATTCTTGGTCGGTATCCAAGCGTGAGAAGGCACAGAGACACAGCACTTCGGCGTGCCAAGGAAGCTTTGAACACGCCGCCAAGCCGGCGAAACTTGCTTTAGACGAGTTGTGGCTTTTTCCTGCGACATTGCGCTTTCGTAAAATTTTTCACGTATTCACAACAGCAAGTCTCAACGGTACACAGAATCTTTAAAAACTTCTTCGGCGAATGACGACGAACGAAGAGAAAACGTGTTTACAGCACGCTGGAGAACTGCAGCCAAACGCTGGCAAAACCGCAAATTGCATCCCAGCAAGGAGGATAGAAGGGTAGGAGAGGGCATGACGTCGGCCGCGTAGCCTCCACAAGCCATGCTCCCTTGACGCCTCGCCTCTTTCTCATTTTCCTCCTTACTCTCTTCACTTACCATGCCAACGTGACCATATCACGTGACCGTAGCTAGCCTTCGTCTTGTTATGGGGTACTAGAATACACCACAGTCTAGCCTTCGATCTGATAAAACCTACCGGACGGAGCGCGCGCAAGCCTGCAAGGAGTCCTTCTACAATCAACCATCCATCTCACACGTGACATGTCACGCGCACCAATCGCCAGAGAGATCTGCGGTCACGCTGGGCACAAAATCGTTTAAACTTTTTATGACTAGGCTTCACCAATATTGCAACGTGCCCCATCCTAGTACTTATAACCTCCTTGCATCCCAGATTCCCAGCGAGGTTGCGTCCGGTGGCTTCACTTGAGATCAGCGAGTGGCGCTAACAGTGTCGCACATTTTATGTTCACTGTAGCACCTCTCGCTAACGTAGGCACTGCGCGCATTATTATTTTTTTTTCCGCATAGCAACGCATGTTTAAAGTGACGGTGTAAATTGTTGTTCTTTGTCATGCAAATGACTCAATAAATGCGTCAACGAGTGCGAAAAATGCTGCATCTGTTTCGATTCCCTGGAAGACGCTGACGACAAGTAACGGACTGTCAACTGCTGGACACAAAGTAGGCAAGCAGAACTTACAATTCTTTGCCATAAGAAGTGGCATGGCACGCGCGAACCGTAAATTTGTGACCAAAACCTACCGCGGTACCGCGGTAGGGAGCAGCGCTAAGGCACGGGCAAGGAGGATTGGGCACGGGGGCTGGGTCTGTGCCATGTTGGATTTTCAGCGGCTTCGCCTTCGCAAACGGCTATGAGGGCACTGAAGCTAGCTGACGGCGTCAAAAGTCATAATTAAAACGTTAGCGCTCAATTTTATGAAGATAATTATCGCTTTTTATTTTAGTTTTTCAATCTATTGATAGGGCAATGAGTAGCTGGTTCGTTGTAGTAATGGGCGCCTCCGACCACGGAAGCGCTGCTGAGCTCCCAGTTTACCCAGAAATCGACTCCATTGGGCAGCCATTGGGTCTATGGCAGTATCCTGCCATAGACCCAATGCACACTTAGATTGACCTAAGGTCAATATAAGTGTGCAGTTACACACAAGAAGTGTGGGAGTAAACAGCGTGAAACGTCAAAATAACATTTCTGACAAAATCAAGGAACGAACGCAAATGATTTAGGCTAGATGGCGCAAGCTGTCTTCTAATACAAAGGTTGCAGTCGCTGGAATTATTTATCCAGTTATCCAGTCACGGAACCAGCCAACACAATCCAATCCGTACCGCCTTTGAAATTGGCGGCAGGGCGACAGCGGCGTCAGTGAACAACGTGAGCGGCGTCACTGTTTTACTGGCATTACCGCATTACTTTCTGAGAAATCACAAAGGTCGTGAACGTCGCACAGTTCGAGTACTATCAGCGCCGTCGATAGAGCGAAGCAGCTCGCCGCACAAACCGGCGAGAACCTGCGCGACAGCGTTTACGAAGTCGGTGAGGAGTCGCCATGTCGAGGTCAACGAGGAAGGAAGACACCGCTCAGAAGCCGAGACGGACGAAACGCCAGGCCAGCGAGAGCGCAGCAACGACGCTGCCAGCCGAAACGCCGACCGGGAAAGACCGTTCGCGCAACGTGCAGGTCCTCGATAACGGCCTGAGAATGGAGTCACTGCCGGGTGGCCGACTGAGCTTCGAGCTCGAGGCCTCCGGCTCCCCGTACACCTGGGTTCTGGACGGACGGGACGGCAGCAACTTCGCCGTGATCAGCGGCAGCGAAAACATGCCCTTGCCCCTGCACTGGTCACTGCTGCGGGACATCAAACGTTCGTCGCTCTCGGAGGCTCTGATCATCCACACCAAGCGGATCAAGGCGTACGCGCTGCGGCGTCTTCAACTGGACCGCGCCATCGGGGGCTGCAAAGAGTTCCTTGCGGACGGCAGGATCGAGGCAGCCGGGGCGTGCAACTACGTCCTGGTCGACCTGTGCCTGGAGATCATGGGCGAGCGCGGCCACCTCGTGTTCGAGCTCTGGTACGAGGACTTCTCCCTGCATCCGGTGCGAAGTCGCCTGACTGTGGACGGGTCCGCCGCCTTCAAGGGGCCCGTCACAGACAAGATGAACGAAATCGTGGCCATGCTCGACAGCAACTTGCTCGACGAAGTGTGCCACGCGCTGTGCTCTTAGGACGCTCCCTCGGAGCCATTGACGGACACGTGCGTTCGCTGCCGCGTGTTGACTTGCCCTACGCACTGACAACAAGCAGTTTTCTCTCGTCGTCGAGAAAAGCTTGGCCGGCTGTCAGCCTCGTTATTAATGCGTCTCATGGAGCGAGCCGACGTCATCAGCTTTGAAACCACGCCAAGCCAGCTCCCACTAAAAAGTCTCTTGGTGTTGTGTCGTTTACCCGCAGTCTCGGGTTTCTTTCAACCATGTGCAATGTACACCAGCTCGTTTGCGCCCTTACATTTTGCTCAGCTTCCATTCGCCAAAGAACCACGGCACCTCTTACAGCGCTTCGATCCCATTGGCTAGCCCGCGTTGACCAGGCTCCCATTCGCCGGACACACAGCACCATGGAGTGGCCGGTCGTTGAAACTGACTCGCAGCATCAGTTTCAACGAACGGCCACCATATGGCGCTGCGTGTCCGTCAGCACTAGAGTTCCTGTATAGGCTCCCTACGGGAGCCAGAGTTGCGCATTTGTTTTCCCCGCGCCGCCACGCCGCTATTCGCCGAGATCCATCACGTGAGGAGCAAAGCATCCGGTGGCGTGCAAGAAAGCCACCTTTACGGTCGCTCCGCCAACGTTTCTCTTGCCCCGGCGTATGTTTCCCTGCTTTCCGCCTCCTTTTCCTCCTCTCCTGTTTTCCATGCGCGGCGGCGCGCGCGGCGCCGCTGTTCGCCAAATTTAGTCACGTGAGGAGCAAAGCATCCATCTCGTGCGGGAAAGCCGGCTCTACGGCCACGCGCCGAGGCTGAATGCGCAACTCTGCTACCGTAGGTAGCATATACAGGAACTCTAGTCAGCACCAGTCAGCGCGCCAACACGCGTACAGTAAGAATGATGTGCATGTTTTCGCATTCACAACTCATAAGAAGTGCTTAGGTGTACCTCAATCTTTTTTTTCCCTTATCATATTCTCTTTCTGTTCTTCTAAATGTCATTTTCTCTCATTCAGCCATTCACCCAGATATATACTTCTCCACATGTTCTATTAAAGTGTCGTATTTCCAGTGCCATTATTTGTGACTTGTCGCTACTGAATTTCAGGCGCAGCGAGTCGCTTTGCTCTTCACAGATTTTTATGAGCCTTTGTAATCCAACCCGGCAACCTGCTAGCAGTACACTGTCGTCTGTGTAGAAGAATCCTGGTATAACTTGGTAGGCTTTTTTCCCTCTCTCCATATACGACAGATGAAAACCTAAATTGCACTCTTCTAATTTATTTCCCATTTTACTCAAGTATATATACTTGAGTAAAATGGGAAATAAATTAGAAGAGTGCAATTTAGGTTTTCATCTGTAATTATAATAAAAAATGAAAGCCGTTTGCAAATCCCTGTAACGCCGAATTGGAGCGCAGCTCTTGAGGAGGAGTAGGGAAGGGTACTGAGGGGGGTCACGTCACCTGCGGGTAGTCACGTGACCTCGGGAGGGGGGGGGGGGGGGAACGTGACCCCCCCCGGTTACGCCGACGCCGCTCAGGCTGGAAACGGGCCCCTAAGAGCTGCGCTCTAAAAGCAGGAAAGACAACGGGCAACCAGCCCCCCCCCCCCCCCCCCCCCCTTTTTTTTTCCCCCTATTGCGTTTTCGACCCGCGGTGGCCAGACTAGCTTCTGATTGTCCATTTACCCGCAGTTTTCTTGTCGGAAGACGCACTCGTTGAGGTACACCTCGCCGTTGGATCCGCACACGGGCTCGTAGATCTCCGGACAGGTCTTGGGACAGGCGTCCAGCCTCCGGGACTCTGCGCGCCATCGGATTGGAATCAATCGAGGACGCAGTACAGGTTTTTCTAGGCAGATTCGTACCTCGCACTTTCGCTATGCAGACAGCCAAATCTTGCGTGCCAATCCGCTTTCTGTAAAAGAAGAAAAGGTACACTCTTGCTTCATAAATCGACAAACAACCGCCGTTAACGTGCGTCCATTCAACGGGGCGGCGACGAGAGGCGGGCAGACTTCTCCAGTGTTCCAAGAACAAAGGGCGTCAGAGGGAAAGGGCACATACCTCCCTCGCTTTCCCACAACGCTCTCCGCAACCCACTACGATACCCGGAAATCTACAGTCAAGGGCATCGGCGCGCAGGCGCAGTAGCGGCTTCTTGGTTGCGGAGGGCTTAGCGGAGGGGAAACACGGTCTACGAAAACCAAAGAAAACTCCCTATTAGTGGCATGCAACGGCAGCAGCCGTTCTCTGAAACACATTTCGCGACGGTGACTTCTTTCTTGACTGTTGTAGTGTTGTCGACCCCGACGTAATCTCTGGCAACCACCTGAAACTACTCCGGTCTGTCAGCTCGGGAGGACTTGTATGATAAACGTGGACCGACGGCGGCTCCCTTCCATAAGTGGCCTCATGGCGACTTCATCGTTCATAAAGCCATCTAGATTGGGCTGATGAGGCGGCCTGGGGGTGTTCGAGGGTGGATAAAAATTATATTTTGTATCGTCAAATTCATAATTATTTCATTCAAAATATATGTATTTGATTTAAATCGTACTGAAATCATTCTTTTTCTAAATATGCCTCCCAAACAATTGCCGTCGGTAATTTGAGCTCAGCTCGCTGGAACACTATTGATAATGAATATAAACAAGTCTGCAAGCTATTTCAATTAGGGCAATCAATCATTACTGTTTTAAACGTTAGAGAATATTCTATAAGCCTTTCATTGCCATAATACCACATAAACATATCACAATAAAAGCCACTTGAAATGAGTGGAACCACCTTCTCGCATCTTTAGTGTCAATATCATCGGTGAATTAATTTAAAATTGTGATAAGCAATCATTTTTGCAAAATGATCGGTAATGAAGTGTCCTTCTGTTTGTTTTGCTTTGTTTTCTATTAGTGGCATGTCTGTTAAACCTGGACCGCTCATGCTTTCACTGCGTTTTCGGACTTCATCCGTTGATATTTCCCATTTTCTTTTTGTTTAGCCCCTCCCCTCTGTGATGGCTTCGGGTCCTGAAGGTATTGATATAAATAACAATCAAATATCCAAATCTTGCGAAGCAGACTTGATTTTATACCAGTTTGAGGATAATCAATGATACACAAACATCTCCACCCAGCGGTACAGCCTCAATCTAAAATGCTGCCTACCAGTAAGGTAAGAAAATGCCCCGTGTTGGTCAGTTAAAATGATCTCAGCCAGAATGAAGCGAACGGTGCTTGCATATGTTGTACCTTATGTTGTACCGCAGCGAAGGCTAGAAGCGCGAGCTCATAGTGTTGGCAGCTGCCCTTGGAGCACGGGAGCTTGTGCCACCGAGATGTGCCCTAGAGCAAGGAGCTCGCGCATGTTGCCTTTCCTGCGGTACAACACAAGGTGAAACAGAGATACATTTGCAACTGTTGCGTTCGCATGCAACCGAAACGACCGTATAGGGAGTATTCACTGGCGGCCATAGCTGTGTGCGCGAATGCTGAGCGCGTGCTGATGGCGAGCTTCCACGGTTCTTTTGCAACGTGCATTCCGCACCATCAAGAGTGCCGGTCTTAGCAGCCTATTGATGTGAGCTCGTCCTGAGCATGTGCTTTAAACAGCACCCACAAATATGGCGTCCAGTGAATACTCCCTATAAGGACAAAGTCACCGGGACAAGTGTAAGCAGCAAGAGATGCGGGGTAGCTTCGCGAAGCGATTCATGTTTCACGGTTGTTGCGGTGTTTTGGCCGTTACGATCGTTTCAGTTACATGCGAACGCAACTGTTGTAAATGTGCGCACCAGCCTTTATGAACTACGAGGCGGCTTGCCGATGCAATCTACCTTCCGTTGGAGCTGCTGCAAAGGAGGCTTCGAGGTGCACGGGGGACAACCGCACAGCTGGTTCTCCGTTATCGTGTACTTGAAGGATTTAGTTTGTGGCTCTCCACAATACTGAGCTACCGAGAGCAAAGTGTTTGTGTTATCCATTTTTTGTTCCTCCGGCGTTCTATATATCTTCAAGGTTCCAATCTGCATGTCTGACTGAAGATCTCTTTTACTTAATCAATCGTTGATGTAAGCCACGAGTACTCGATCTCCATAGAAAGTAGCGAGAGGCGGAGACTCCAAATCCTAATAAACTGCTTTGGAAACTTTAAGTCAATCCATAAATTAAACAATTAATCGCACGTTTTATTGTGCCCCACAACAGCTGGCAGGCCTTAGGACTTACAGTCATGCAAACACTGAATAGCTCCACGCGACCTGGCTTTTTTTTTCTTTTTTTCTTTTTTGAGGAGCGCTTGACTGGTGGCTTACGTGAGAACTAGAGTTCCTGTATGGGCTCCCCGTAGGGTGCCTATACGGGAACCCTAGTGTGAACTAGCGCTGACGTCAAGAACAGGTAGTGGGAGCCCACCAACGCGGACTGCCGTTTTCATCTGTGCCTGTGTCGCCGCGGTTTGATTGAAAGGTGGAGAGGATTCTCGAAACAGCAGATAACAACGGCAGTTTGCGATGATGAGCTCCCCAGCTCCCCCCTATCTGCTCCACATGGACGAGTCCTGACGTCAGCGCTAGTTCACACGTAAACCACCAATCAAACTCTCCTTAAAAAAAAAAAAAAAAAGCTTGCTTGCGTGGATTTTTTTTAGCATCTGCATGACTGTATATAAAGGAAAAATAAATAATAATAACCAGTAGTTATTTGTAATACACTCCTCTCGAACTCCTCACCCCAGCATAGTGAAAATGTCCACGTCCGAATGATCTAATCTGTCATTTATAAGCTACATGCATGTCCATTGAGAGCCAGATTTGTCGTCGGGAAATGTCGGGTGAGGTACGTTTTACATCAAATTAGGAAGGTCTACGCGATTTATATCGTTAGTTAAATCGTAAAATAAATTACAAAAAAATCGTCTCGATTTTCTTTTTTTTTTTAGCATACATAGGCTTGACACATCAGAATGGACACCCCTCGTTCTTAGTTAGCGCCTTTGGTCCGGCCCATACTGTTTTAATCGTGCACATTTATTAAATGTGTAATGAGCGATTCTGGCAGGACAGGTTGCTGTTGAACTAATCTTGATTTTGCAACTTCCGTAATTTTAAACGTAGTATTTATTTTTCTCAAGCTGGTACAGCTTTCTCCTGGACGCCGTATAAAATCGATTCTCGATTCTCGATTGCAGGTTACCGGACAGTTTTTCGCAGTTCCAGCTTTTGGTTGCCCTTTCTCCAGTCAGTGACGGTGACTATATTCCGTCATTTGTTTTTTTCTTTTTAAATATTAAAATTTAGGGAACTTTTTTTTTTTGCTCTTATTTGCGTTTGAGAATCCCTTCCGTAATCTTGACAACTGCACAGTGCACACAGCGTGCCTCATCGCCGCTCTGTAAATTATTGATCTTATTCGCTTCGTACTTTCCTAGTCTACTATACGACACTTCCGGCACTTTCGCACCTCGCCTATTTGTCACGGTATTGACCCATACCTCGACTCACCGCAGAAATTCTCATACAGAAGTCTACTTTACGGATCTCTTCGCCTTAAAGGCCCTTTTGTCAGGGGGGTCATATTTCACGATTTTACGTAACGAACCGAAGGCGCAGAGAAAGAGAGAGAGGAAGCGAGTCAGCTTCTTTGACAAACCGTGCATTTTAGATCCCGAATTGGGCGTCAAGAGTCTTAACCGACGAAATAATCGCGCGGTCCAGAGTTTACGACACCCCGTTTCACTTTGTCCGACCAGATTCGACGATCGGACGTAGCCAATCAAGTGGCGTGAAAAGCGCATCCTGTCGGCGCTCGTCGCCTTACCGCCTAAACAAATCAGATTATTAAGTCACATACCGTCTAAACGAATAAATTATTAAGTCAAAGTAGACCGAAGAAATAAAATGATTGTCAGCTCCACAGTCGACTACCGGCGATAAGGGAACCATGAGATAACTGCGATCGTAGATAGAACCTTTTCGTCATTTTAACGCGTTATATTTAATGAAAAAAAAAAAAAAAAAACACAACATTACGCGTGCACTTTTGAAAAGGGCACGGAGTTATTTTTCTTTATTATCTATCACTAGCCAAGAGTTCCTTTTTCGAAAGAGAGAAAATGGGTGATCGCAGGATCGCAGGCTCTTCATTGGCATCGTCTGCTCGCGAGTCGAGTCGACACTGCAGACAGGCGAGACGATCTCCCCCTCTGGACCGATGGGTTTGATTTTCGAGACGATCTCCCCCCCTGGACCGATGGGTTTTATTTTCGAGCAAGTTTCAAAATATTTTATATACTACCCAGTGTACAATAAAAAAAAAAAAAAACACACACACACACACACACACACACACACACACACACACACACACACACACACACACACACACACACACACACACACACACACAAAAAAACAACAACAACAACAACAACGGAATTTCGGTTTTTGATTTAATAGAAATAAGGTGCGCGGTTGACGTTGAGAACGTAACGTCGCCTGAATCCAAAGAAGAATCAGAAAAACAAAACTTTTCTATCGGCGGAAAACCAAGAAATGATTTTGAGGGCATCTGTTCTGTCGTTTATTTCGGGGGAAAATAAAGCTACAATTTGTCAGCGAGGAAGACGAAACTGTCTTTCTTGCTGACAAGTTTTGCTTCTTTTTTTTTTTTTTAAATTCAAATTAGTGCTTCAGTCGCCGCAATGGCATCTCTTCGTTTGACGAATGGTAGGTCAAAGCGGACGTCGGCTCGTAGAAACATGTGAGTTTCCTGTTTTGTCGTTTGATCCAGCTGGCGTCACGTTTTCAGACATTCACAGTCTATCACCACCGCTACATAGCGTCGCATTCACACGGATTTTAAGCTTTCTGTAATAATGAATTTATTCGTGTAAGGAAAAGAAAAAAACGAAATAATATTTTTGTTTAATGGGAGCCCGTTGATAGCCGCGAGGGGAGACTCACCCGCAGTTCCTCCGCTGCATGATGCAGAGGTTAGGGTAGAACTTGCCGTCCCTCCCGCAGACCGGGTCGTAGATGTCCAGGCACTTGTCCGGGCAGAGCGGGTGCTGGCCGCGACACTTCTCCCAGTCCACCACCGTCACGGGATTCCTCCTGCTGAGCAAGAACATTGAAAAGCCTATAGAGACTATATACCGGGTGTTCCCTTTTCATTCGAACAGATTCATCACAAAACATTCGTGAAAGATGCGCTAATACGGTTTGTGCAGGTCAGTTATACGGCCAGGGGAACGTTATGTGGGTGGTTAATCTTTGCGATAACTCGGATGTTTAACTAAACTCCCTCAATTAACTTTTTGATCAGTAAAAATAATCACATGGATTCACTTTAGAAACATGCTGAACGTAATCGAAAACCACTATATCAGTCAATTTTAGAACGACTTGAAGGTCGTGGGAAACTCGGGGCTGAACCGAAATCACCACTCGTATAGCAGGCGCAAAGCTAGCAGTGGCGGAACGCGGATGATTAGATTATCATCGCGTTCCGCCGCTGCTAGTTTTGCGCCTGGTGCACCAGTGTAACCGCGGGCGGGTGTGCTAACCACTCCACCACTCCACCTGGACTTCCTGGCGTTTCCTATCTGTCTTATGAAGGAACAAAAAACTAAATGTATCCTTTGTCCACCAGCTTTTCTTAAAAAAAAATGGTTAATTACTTCTAAATTTGTACAAAGAAAAAGTTTCGAGTTGTCTTTATCATTCTTGCAAACCCGGCGCGCGTAGAATGTGTCGTCGTGCGCTGTAACTAATTAGTTCCGTGTTTTCGGTTATTTTTCTTTCTTCGAATTCGGAGTTTTTTCTTCTTTTTTTTTTTGGGGGGGGGGGGGGGGGGGTTCATTTTTTCCAACAAATTTAGAGTTCTTTGTGTAAATTGGTTAAGTTAGAAGCAATTTACGCACAATAAAAACAAAACACTGCATTTGCGGTAAACAACTAAACAAAACGAAAACACACCCAAATTAAAATATAAAAAATAAAACATAAACACCGAAAATACGAAACCCTATAGGAGTTATGACTTGTTAGGCTTGGATACGGGAAGCTTTGGGTGACTTCGGATCCCTTGCACACACCACATACTCAGGTGCTCCGGCGGCTTATCAGAACGATCGAGACAAGTTTACGTTTATTCGAGAGTAAAGATTTTGGGGAGTGAGAAGATTCCATGTGTTTTGCTTCTTCCGAGTTCTTTGTTGAGTTATTAGCGCTCTTTCTTTCTTTATTGGTTTTCCATTTCATACAGAATGGAGGAGGCCGAGGAAAAAAGCTACAAACGCAGATTGTGGGGCCCTCGGCCCCCTTTAAATGATGGCAGCATTGGACTCACAAAACACTCACACACAGTAACAAAACACTTCCTGGTCAATCAGATTCACTCATTCGATACAGCTCCACACATTAGTACACAGTTGCAATTTAACATGATTAGGTCGGGTAAGGAACACAAAACAATTCTAGGAAATAGCTCGTTTTCATCTCAGGCAGTTCTAAGGGCACCGGTATCAGAAAATGAACATAAAAGATATCTCAGTTCAGAAGGGGTTATAGAGGATATATCGGTGCCAGCCTCCTCAAATGAATTTAGTAGTCGAGGCAAAGTATTCCTAAGCATTTGGTCACCATAATTTGTCCGAGAACGAGGAACTATCCATGGTTCTGGAGTTCGTGTTTTATGCGAAGGTTGCCTTTTTTCTAAGTTTCCTATTTCTAAGAGTGTAGAGGTATTTTTCCTAATGCTATAATAAAAATCTCGCATAAGCCTCCTTCGGTATATGTCATGAACTTTTGGAATGTTATATTTCTTGAAAAGGTAGTCAGTATGTTCGGTGTATGAGACATTGGCAATAACGCGTATCATTCTCTTTTGCATTAAATGTAATTTATGGAGGTTAGATTCTGTTGTTGTGCCCCATACAAGATGGCAATAGTTAATATGAGATACAAATAGCGTATTGTAGATTAATAATTTAACCGATTCCGGAAGAATATACCTATTTCGATTCAGTATACCAGCTATTTGACTAAGTTTGATTAGTACAAAGTTAACATGCTCGTCCCATTGCATGTTACTGGAGAAGTACGTGCCAAGCACTTTTATAGTGTCCAAAACTTCGATGTTTGTGTGATTAAACGCTATGTTATGATGCAATGGGATAGGCGTTCCTCTTGTATAGAAGAAAACGGCTTTAGTTTTATTAGAATTAACTTTTAGACGGTTCTGTTTTGACCAAGAGGTTAATTTACGTAGAACATCATTTGCCATATTGGTTATCTCGGCGTAGGAGCTGGACGATAGAAATATGCTAGTATCGTCCGCATAGATTATAAACTTCGCCTGTTGACATATATGTACGATATCATTGACGTATAAGTTAAAAAGCAACGGGCCAAGAATGCTACCCTGAGGCACACCAGAGATTATTTCTTTGCTTTTAGACGTTAAGCCATTCAGAAAAACGAATTGTCGCCTTCTGCCGAGATAGGATTTTATGAACTCAAGTGGTAGACCCCTTATGCCATACCGCTCAAGCTTTTTAACTAGAATATTGTGATCGATATGATCAAAGGCCTGGGTAAAATCAACAAAAATGCCCAAAGTCAGAAGCTTCTGCTCGAAGTTTTGTAAAATATATTCTTTTTGCTCAAGAAGAGCCAGCTCCACAGACTTATTTTTTTGGAATCCATACTGAGCTTTAGTTATTAGCTGATATTTTGCACAAAATGACGATATTTGATTTAAAATAACTTTTTCTAAGCATTTCGAGAAAATTGGAAGGATAGAAATTGGGCGATAGTTCTTTATGTCTAACCTATCACCTTTTTTATATAGTGCTGTAACTTTGGCAACTTTCATTTTGTCTGGAAAGGTTCCTGTGGAAATACATAAGTTGTATATATGAACCAAGACATGGACGATTTCATTAATTACGTACTTGACAGGTCTTATCTGAATACCGTCAGCATCACGGCTGCAAGAGTTCTTGAGTCCAAGAAAGGTTGAACATACCTCTACACTGTCGGTTGCATGTAAAAAAATACTGCTTTCGTTTCCGGACAGGGAGTAACTACAAGACTCATTTGAACACAGTTCAGGTTCTCTATGGACAAAATAATGGTTAAACGCATTCACTAGTTCAACTCCTGTCAGTACGCGTCCATTGAGAGAAATTCTTTCTATTGTTTCAACATTCTGTTTTCGTTTCATGACTACACTTAGCTTGCTCCATAGCTTATCTGTGTCCCCTGCACAGCTAGAAAAGAGGTTCATGTAGTAAGCTTCCTTGGCATTCCTTAACTCTTTAGTTAGTTTATTACGATAGACCTTAAACGTTTCCAAGTCTGAAGGGATCCTTTTCTTAATAAATGTTAGATAAAGCCTCTCCCGCTTCTTAATTTTCCGTAAGAGCTCTTTTGTTAACCAAGGTTTCCGAAATTTCTTATTGAATTTGCGCTCCTTATTGATAAAGTGCTTCTTATATGCTGCAACAAATATGCTGAGGAAAATATTATAAGCTATATTGGCATCTCCTTGTTGAAAAACTTCGTCCCAGCACGTATCCTTAAGCTCTTTCTGAAACTCGCTTAAGGTCTTTTCGTTAATAAGCTGGAATGTTACGTTAGTATTAGCTTTTTCCTTTTCAAGGGGGGTTGTTCGAACTGACAAACAAACAGGCATATGGTCACTAATTGGACAACTCAAAACTCCACTAATCATACACGATGGATCATAGCTTGTTAAGAAAAGATCAAGAGTTGTTTGCGTCGTTTCAGTAATCCTTGTAAATGACTCAATAGCATTCGTACACCCATTCGAAAGGAACACCCTCTCAAAATCTTTTTTCCTCGCGCTATCAGAATTCATATCGATATTAAAATCACCACCTATTATGACGTTTTGTCTGCGGTAACTTGCACAGGCCAACATATTTTCTAGGAATGAAAGAAAAACATTCAAAGCACCATCTGGTGGCCGATAGCACACCGCAAAAATTATATCCCTTGTCTCGGCACACAACACTTCATAATCGTCGGTTGAAGCAGAATACTCTTTCAGCAATTCACATGACATTGAATCATTTATGAGCAGTGAAACCCCACCCCCACGTCGTGAAGTTCTATTAAGATAGTATGTTCTTTTTTGAGGCAACTGAAAGATGGCAACATCGTTTGAATACAATGTTTCAGTCAACATAATAACATCCCAATGCTTATCGGCATCAGCAAAGAAACTTTCAAGTTCTGTTAACTTGCTATTTACAGACTGCACATTCATATGCAGACAACTCAGTCTGTCTCTCCGTAATCCGAGAGACGCAAACCATTCTTCTTTAGTAGTATGGCCCAACTGAATCATAAAATGTTAAAAAAAAATAAAGGAAAGACAGCTTGAGGTGACTGACTATCTACCGCAGGACACGTAGGTCATCCTCGCATTTTATAATTGTTGCCGAATCGCCAGTCGCTCTACGCACGAGGATTTTTCCATTCGCATGCCATGCGTATTTATAGCCCGATTGTTTGAGCCATTCTTTGGCAGCTGAGAGAAGTCCCCTAGAGCGGGAGGTCATATTTTCACAGATGAAAACCCTATCCTCGCTGTTTCTCAGGACTCCCCTTTTGGCCAGCCACGTATCCCGCAGCTCCTGACGCGCGAAACGCACGATGATTCCACGTGTCCTTCCGGGCCTAGCTGGAAGCCTGTGAACAGCGGAGATGTCTTCCCCGGCCAAAGTACCAACTTCTAGTCTCACTGCTAAGTCGTTCACCTTACTCAAAAGGTCTTCGCCGTCGGTGTCAGGGATCCCATGAATCTCAATGTTAATCCGCCTACTACGCCACTCGAGTGCATCAACGTCCAGCTGCAGCTGGGCAAGGGCCTGAGGTCCGCTGGATTTTTCAATTTTTTCGACTCTATGCTTGACATCTTTAATTTCTTGGTCGTGATTTTCGAGGCGACGCTGTATGGAGTCGAATTGATCTGAGAGCAATTGAACAGACTGTTCAAGGCCATCGACTTTGGCCGGCAGCTCAATAAGCAAACTCAGCTTTCTGTCAATCTCCACCAGCCTCCTGAGCATGTCACCCTCAGCTCT